CCTTTGACCTCTTTCATCGCCTTTTCGCCTTGGCATTCAGCATCCTCGAGGTCTGTAACTTTGGGAGATATATCTTTGCTTCGCAGAATCGCTTGGCAATCCACCGACTACTCCTTTTCATCTCCGAGTTGGTTCTTTCCTTCAGGGCTTGGCACACTGGAATTTTAGGTGGTTAGATAGCCACTCGACGATTCACCAAGTTCCCTTGGCGATCCCCAAGCTTGCCTTTCTTCATTTCTTCAGTTTGTTTTGTTCCTTTTTGCTTGTTAGTGTCCTTTCTTTTTTCCTCAATCTATATACCTAAAAACCAAGGATTTAACATTAGTTTATGGAAAAAATGAAGCATTTGAGGACACTAAATCTATATAAACAAAGCCTTAAATGAGTCAAAATCTCAAATTCATCACATAAACTTGCACGATTAGGAGACCGACTAATGGATTCCAATGAAGGAGGAGTAGTGGTGATGAATGGGGTTGAATCATCATTAGTGTCTGAGGTGAAAGAGAAATAAGACCAAGGTCCTATTTTGCTTGAATTAAAGGAAAATTTTCATAATCAAAAAGTGATAGTTTTTGAACAAGGGTAAATGGTGTATTGAGGTATCAAGGTAGATTCTGTGTACCAAAGGTGGATGAAATCCAAGAGAGGATCATGGAGAAAGCTCATAGCTTCAAATATTCTATCCATTCGGGCTCCACAAAGATGTATCGTGACTTGAGAGAAGTCTGTAGGTGGAGTAGTATGAAGAGGGGTATCATATAGTTCGTTGTTAAGTGCCCGAATTGCCAACAAGTCAAGGTAGAGCACTAGAGGCTCGGTGGTATAGCTCAGAACATAGATATTCCAAAATGGAAGTGGGAGATGATCAATATGGATTTTATTACAGGTTTACCACGGTCTCACAAGAAACATGATTCGATTTGGGTAATTATAGATCAAATGACTAAATCAACCCATTTCTTACCGGTAAAGACTACCCATTTAGCAGAAGATTATGCTAAGTTATATTCAAGAGGTAGTCAAACTTCATGGAGTTTTGGTGTCCATTATTTTAGATTGAGGTGTATGATTCACCGCACAATTCTGGAAGTATATCCAGAAAGGTTTGGGTTCCAAGGTGAACCTAAGTATTGCTTTTCATCCACAGATAAATGGTCAACAAGAGCGCACAATTCAAACTTAAAAGGATATGTAAAGGGCGTGTGTGATCGATTTCAAGGGTAATTGGGATAATCACTTATCTCTCATAGAGTTTGCTTACAATAATAATTATCACTCTAGCATCCAAATGGCTTTTTATGGGAGAAGATGTAGATCTCCTATTAGATGGTTTGAGGTTGGTGAAGCTGGGATGATAGGGCCGGATTTGGTTCATCAAGCTATGGAGAAAATGAAGATTATTCAAAAGAGGTTGAAAACAACGCAGAGTCGTCAGAAGTCCTATAGAGATGTTTGGAAAAAGGACTTAGAGTTTGAAGTAGATGATTGCGTTTATTTGAAGATTTCACCCATGAAGGGTTTTATAAGATTTGGTAGGAAGGGGAAACTTAGTCCTTAGTATATTGGTCCTTATAGAATATCCAAGAGGATCGGTAATGTGGCTTATGAGTTGGAGCTACCGCAAGAGTTAGCAGTGGTCCATTTATTATTTCACATTTCTATTTTGAAAAAGTGTATGGGCGATCCTTCACTTATCATACCTACTGAAGATGTTGGTATTAAGGATAGCTTATCTTATGAAGAGATTCCAATTCAGATTCTAGATTGCCAGGTTCGCAAGTTGAGAACCAAGGAGGTAGCATCAGTCAAGGTTCTATGGAGGAATCAGTTTGTTGATGAAGCTACTTAGGAAGCTGAGGAGGATATGAAAAAGAGATACCCAGATCTCTTTGAGTCTGGAGAAATTCCAAATTAAGGTACTAATCCTTTTCTTGGTATTTATTTAAGTTGAAATGTTCTGTTACTTTGCATATTGAGTGTTTGAACTGGGTGTCAGATGTTACCACCCTTAGTCTACTTAGAGTAATCTCATTCGAGGACGAATGTTCCCAAGGGGGAGATATTGTAACACCTCTGTATTTGAAAGAGATAAGAATAGAAAGAACTAGATTGGAAATAGAAAAATCCGAAATTTTGCAAGTTATGCATAAGTTATGAGTAGTGGGTCAACTTCAAACGACCATAACTTTCAGTAAAGGATGATTTAGGTGGCCCATAAGATATCAAATAAAAGGTCTTGGAATCCTCTTTCCAACGCCACTGAGTTTGCTAATTTTTGAGCTTCTATGAAGGAGATATGCCCGTTAAAGTTGGGCTGTCCAGTTAAGGAAAGTTACGCAAAAATATGAGGGGTATTTTGGTCTTTTCCTTACCCTATCAGATTTTTTTTCATTTTAGGGTCTAAACTGATTTGTTTAGTTTACACAATCATAATTCATGCTAGGGTTTTAGAAAAGAGTTCAAGAGGAGAAAATAGGAGAAATGTCAAGGTTTCGTCAAGTTCTTGAGGTTTCGTTGCGGATTTCACCAAGGGTTTGATCCCTAAGAGGTATGCGAGTTCACATAGCATTGGGTTCATTCACCCACACGTCAATCATATTTTTTCAGCATAATTTCATCCTAGAAAGTTGAAAGTTTGATGTTCTTGATTACAGTTCTTTGAAAGTATTGTTTCCGTTCTTGAATTAGGATGGATTGGATGAGTTCTTCAGATAAAAGTTAGTGAATTGAGCGTAGTTTGGAGTAGATTATCGTGTACATAAGTTGAGTATTCGAATCTAAGTGATTGGGAAAGAAACCATTCGATTCTAGGCAAATTAGGGTAAAAAAATGAGTAAGAAAAGATTGGGCAGAAAATAACCAGGTCTGTGACACGGACCTATTCCTCAGAAGTGAAACTTTCCTCTCCACATAGCGGAGAAAATGAGGACTCCACTGTTTCAAAAATTATTTCGCGACCAAATATTATAATTCATCTCCACGTCGCGGACTTGTTCCCCAAACAATATTTTCCAACCGTTTCTCATTATTAACTATCTAAAACTCATTTAATTATCACAACACCCTTCCTATAATAAATCTTCACCTTGAATTCATAATTCTACTTCAAGGTAGAGTTAAGAGTTAAGTCGAGAGAGTTCTTTGAGTCTTTTCAAAAAGTTTTATACAATCATTTTAAACTTGTTTTAAGACTTCAGAATTGAGTTTGAGGAAAAGTAGAACTGAGTTCATTTTCTTTAAAATGATATATGAGAACTAAGTATTTCCTAGAGTAAATGTTTTCACATTTAAGATGATAGGAAGCACCGATTTCCAAAAGAGTTTTCATGAGCAGTTTTAGTACCATCTCTTCTAAGATAAAGATTTTTGAGTAATAATCTCAAACCACAGAAAGAGTTATGTTTTTAAACATATAATGTAGTTACATTTTGGGAGTAGTATTGAGCACCGATATGGGGACGAGTTCAGATAACTCAAAGTCTCCATAAACCATGTAGCCAGCATGGGTAGAAATGATCATACTTTTTAGATGATTCCTTAATGGTTTTTAGCATAAACTAGTGGATCCACTTAGTAGTAGGTTCTATACCCCGGCAAGGTATATGACAGTTCTGGCAGCGTGGGATAGATGATGTATCATCAAATAACTCATAGTGATGGTTGTCGGTTAGAGAATCTCCCACAGAGTTACTTGTATTTTTATATACAAAACTAAGTTATTATTGTATTGTTTCAATACAATGAGTTGCTATGTATTGTTTAATTTTTTTTCTTTATACTGCATCTTTATCGCTGCTTTATATTTAAATGAGTTGAGTTGAGTTGAGACGAGGTAAGTGTTTCTTTTAGTTCCAGTTCAAGCTTATGTCTTGTTTTAGATTTCTCCTCACATGCTCATACATTCTATGTACTGACGCCATTTGGCCGACATCATTTTATGATGCAGATACAGGTAACCAGGATCAGCATCCAGCGCTTCGTTGATCCAGTTGAACTTCAGAGTTGTTGGTGAGCCTCCTTGCATTCTGGGGGATCCATTGTTTACTTTATCATTTCATTCTTATTGTTAGGATGTCATGGGTCTTGTCCCGACATCCATCTAAGTTAGTAGAGGCTTCATAAATAGTTAGACATTTTTAGTTCATGAGTTTTTCCATTTCAATTATTGATGTATGAGACTTGAGCTGCCATTTTGGCTAGTTGAATGTTTATTTTTAACACATTCTAAGTTATCATTTGAGTTATAGTTACGTTTTAAAGTGCTTTTATTATGAGTAAGTCTTCCGCTAAGAATTAAGCCAGGCCAAGGGTTCGCTTGGGGCCATCAATGGTTCTCGAGTGCCAGTCACGTACAAGGTGTAGGCTCGGGGTGTGACACTCTGGTAAGGGCTTAGGGTTGAGATCTATGGGTGACGCCATTGTTGAAAGTGAATAAGCTTCAGAAGTTGATATAGAGCAAAAGAAAAAGTGTAGATGGATTTCTTCATCATTTTTCTTACTTTTAACAAATCAGATTGTTGATTTATTTTCTCAATTTTTTGTTGTTCATCTTTTTTTGATACATATGAGTTCAGTTTTTTTAATGTATCTAGTTGTTTTTGTTTCTTATATTAATGTATAATTCCTTTGTTGGTGGCTCCGGTAAAGGCTTTGGGTCGAGATCCATGAG